CCTCCACGAAACATCCACGCAGCGCGCGAGGTAACTTTATCCCGATTCTAAAAATAACTCGAGACGAATTACCTATGGAATAGGGTGTGTATGGGGGATGCCTTCTCTGTCCCCTTTATCCTCTCTTGATGATTACCATCGCTTAATTCCTGTTGCGTGGGAAGGCTTTAAAGATCTGAGAGGAACCTCGGAAATTTATTCCATGACCGCGCCTTAAAGTCGAAAAATTGTAATTATAACAAAAGCATCATTTACATAGAATTTTTAAAGAACAACAGCTCGAAAAATATTCTGCTTCCTTGCTACGTGTGTTGCGAATTGCCGGGAAAATGAACACCCTTAGTGAAACAGATCTGGAACTACTTCGTGCGCATCGCTTTGTGTTTGTTTTGCAGAATCGAGCATTCCATCGTCTTATAAACCTGGTAAAATACGCCCTTTCATGGACTTTCTTTCACACCGAGCATTAGATAATAATTTACCAATATCGCACAACACTTTGATAGGTCAAGTTCATAGTCGATTCTACAGTAAACAGAGGCGACTCGTGCGATCGGCTGTAAAATGTTCGCTTCACTTACCGTCGCAAATAACTCCTCCGAGCCCTGTGAACAATGCTGATGTTTTCAGACCCTTTTCACAGGAGTTGATTTGGATAGGAGAAAGCTGTTATCCGAAAATCGTGGTTTCTGGACTTATTTTGAAGATAAGAAGTGAAGATACGCTTCTTGAGAAAAAATGTATTTCATTGCCTTTTCAGCCTAGCATATTGTTTCTCATCGAGAACCATCGACGAAAGAGTCCGAAAAATGGTTATCTTTGTATGCTGATTGACTCCGAAGTATACTCTATTGTCACTTACTCACTTTCGGAAAACTAAGTATGCTGATTGGCTCCGAAGTATATTCTATCGTTACTTACTTACTTTCGGAAAACTGATTCGATGCCAATAGTGACTCCTGCGCATGCGCAGTAGTCACAAAAAGCACTAATATAAATTTTAAAAACTAAACGGAGAAAAAAAAGGCATCTTTGGTAACTCAAACTTAACTCAAACTCAACTCTAACTCAACTCAAGCTCGTAACTCGATAAATAGCAGATCCCCGAGAGTAGTTTGATGCAAGCAATTGCAAAACGGGAACGTACAGGCTTTGAAAAGTTAACAAAACCCCGGGAATATCACGCTTCAGAACAAGAGCGCTGATTATTTTTGTCTAGATTAGAGTTACTTCGAGCCATTTTGGATGTCTTTTTAAGACACCATGCATATGGTAATCAGCCACTTATAAAACGATACATTAAAGTAAAATTAACGTGTACTTAATTTCCTCTAGATGTGAATGAGTGTACTCCAGTGTATGTGGCCAGCCTGAACAGAACTATTATTCCTGCCGAATGTGATCAGCTTTGCCACAACACCCAAGGGAATTACTCCTGCAGCTGCAACCATGGATACCGTCTGCTCTACGATGGCAAAAGATGTCGAGGTATTTAAGAGTGACATTTGTTACCCCCACAAAGCCACTAATTTCTGATAGTCTCTTCGAAATCCTGCAGATAACTGTTGATATTTTAATACAAACAAATTTAATTTTTGAACAACACAGATGCAGACGAATGTCTCTCGGGAAGCCACTCTTGTCAGCACATTTGCCATAACACACCTGGATCTTATGGCTGCTCTTGTTTCTCCGGATACAGACTTAAACCGGACATGAGAACATGTGAAGGTGAACGCCTAAACTTTTTTTCTCTGATCGTTTAAACAAAATATCTATCTTACTCTTGATTCTGTTGATTAAATGCCCCTTGACGCTTAAACATTAACTGCTTAGTGTAACCCACCATAAAGAACTGCGCAAAACGGGGAATCTAACTGACACATCGTTCATTGGGAGAATGGCTGAAAGGGTGATGTTGATGCGCTACAAACGCAAATTTGTCCCAAGAATTTTGTCCAGGCATTCGTTACCAGAGATGCAATGCTTTTTGCTTACAACTGATCCAGTCTAATGCTAAAACGTACGCAGGGAATACTATTCCCTGTTCAAGCAGCCAAAAAACCGGCGTAAAAAACTCTTCTCTGAATTCCAACACCAGGTATTTGTAATAATAACCATTAGTTTTTTATTGATAGGGCTTCCTTGCAAGACTATTAAGGCTCCACCGAATGGACGCATGACTTGTAGCGGCTTAGTCACCAACGAAACATGTTTGTTTTCCTGCAATGATGGCTATAATTTGAAAGGCTCTGAAAGACGAACCTGCTTGAATTCTGCAGAATGGGACGGTGATGAGACATTTTGCAAAGGTGAGCAAAGACGTAGTCTCTGTGAAACTCATCTGTAATTAAACTGTTTTTTATAGTTATATATTGCTAATAATGAGATAAAGCAATCATAACTTAAGCTTACCCATACACCCTCTTTTATAAGAACGTCCATTTTTCGAGTTGAGCCTGGACCTTTCTTATTTTCTGAGCAGTTTCAGCCTGGAAATGTTCTTTCGAAATATATTATAGTTTTCACATTTTTAATGAATTTTACAAGTACAGTATAAATGTAGTATTAGTCTCGCTTGCGTAAGCAGCGAGACTCATAATCTGCAAGCCGTTTTTCTTCGTATTTAGGACACAAAAGGGNATTATAGTTTTCACATTTTTAATGAATTTTACAAGTACAGTATAAATGTAGTATTAGTCTCGCTTGCGTAAGCAGCGAGACTCATAATCTGCAAGCCGTTTTTCTTCGTATTTAGGACACAAAAGGGAAGTCATTGTGCCAGGCGTTCTTAGGGGAAACCGTGGAAACTGAGAAAAAGAATCGTTGCTTCACCGAAGCCATGCACTTTTTGCGAAGAAAGCTTAGGAAAGATTAAATTTAGAGCTTTTCCGAAAGGTGTCGGTCCACGAACTCTATCGCTTGAAAGCGTTGATTACTTTGGAACAAGTGAACACTACTGAGTGGTCGAAAAAAAATAAGAATCTTAATTAGCAAAACTGCGATGGTCGGGTGTTGTAAACTCTTATTGTATGCAAATGGATCTTGTGATGGGCACGCGGTTTATTTTTGGCGATGATTGAAATGACGTGCCATGTAAATCACTTTTTTGATCTCTGGCGAAGATGTAATTTCTCTGGAATCGAGGCCCTTGAATTTTCGCGTATTTATACAGGCGTATAAATTGCCTGCGACCGCAGACGTATTTCCGGTCGTCGCCAACACGCGTATTAAATCAATTCAGAAACAAATAAAAAGTTATTATCCTGAAGAACAATCGACGTCGATAAAGTGGAAGTAAAAACCTTCAGCGAGTAAATCCCGTCTCGTGTACAATTAATCGTCTCCTCATTTCTCCATCTAATCTCCATGCAAGCGAGACAGGCGCCCCTGTAGGAGCGTTCTTGTTGATCATAAACAAGAGATAATGAGCAAGCTCATCCACTCTTGTCGTAAACAATAGGAATGTGTTGAAAAATAACAAAATTTTTCATACACACTAACTTTTGGACGTCATATGATTCAGGTTACTTTTCTGGATTTAGAATGTAAAAGCCCAAGTGAAATATTAACCTGCGATCACAGACGGTCCTTCTTCCCTTTTTGTTTTGGAGACGAGGGGTTCTTTTTTTCTTCTTTTCCCTCCGCCGACTCTATCCCCGAAAGAAAGAACGCCTGATCGTAGATTCGATAGTCAGTTGGTTTTGGAAGCCGTTTAAAAAGAAAAATTTAACTTAAAAACGTTACTCGACGTTTCGATGTATCACACATCATTATCAACAGTGAGAAATGTTAAGTTTCAAAGACACCATGCAAAAGGAATATGAGGTCGAGAATCCAACCATCACGGGCAATTTCTCGGTAATCAAAAATGCGGAAACAAATTCGAATGCCTTTCCTTCGAGATGCTTTTTATACAAGAACGCAAACCATCATTGAATGTGCAGTCGGATTCGATTCGAGCTAAGCTTTCAATTAAGTAATACATAACCATGAAGCATGCACGAATACGATATAATTTATTCAAACTACAGCTCTTTCACAACTTGGATATTTAATATTTCCCAATCTTTATAATGGTGTGTGATACATGGAAACGTCGAGTTTAATTGTTCTTGATCGCAGGTTAGTGAAAAATAAATTGTTGTTCTCTTAGCCTCGGGTATGCTCTTAGCGTCTTCTTAATCATGATTTTGGCAAATTTCAGGCTGAACGTTCTTATAAAAAAGGAGTGATATTTGGCGGGTAAATAAGAGCTTTATTCCTGATTGGGTATTTGTTGAGCAATGTCACAAAACAAACTTCTTTCACCTCACTCTTGTTTTTATCTCCCGTTCACAGTGAAAAGTTGTGGTCGACTGGACCTTCCAGCTAGAGTACTAGTTTATCTTCCTTGTTACTCCACATTTGGCTCAAGATGTACACTTGGCTGTGTGGATGGCTACTTTGGCGTTGGTAGTGATCGTGCTACTTGCCGCCTGAATAAATCAAGCGAAGTTGAGTGGGACACAGGAAACTTTACTTGCAAAGGTTAGTATTGCTAAGGTTTTAACAGTAATTTAAGTGTTAATGATATATGAAATAAATCATATATGAACTGCGGAAATGAAATGAAGATGAAGAAATGATCGTCGCAGTGAACGCAATTTATGCAATTGCGTAAAGAGGCCTGAAAAAAAAATTCAGGACCTCAACGGGGTTTGAACCCGTGACCTCGCGATTTACCGGTGCGATGCTCTACCAACTGAGCTATGAAGCCACTTACGTGTGGCTTCATAATTTCCAGTGAAACGCCTGTTCATTTGAATCCTTATATCAAATTTAAATGTAAAGGCCTATCTTTCTTATACTATTAGAAAATATTTTTTATATATTTTTAGCCAAGTGGTGATATGCATCTGCCTGTACAGCGCAACCTGATGGTGGTTAATCAAGAAAACTGTCGAAAATTAAGAAAAGTGTCTTAATTAAAAGTACAACTCCTTTGATTTTCACTGCATTGACAAGTATTCTGCTTTAATTTACTCTACTAACCATGTTTCTGGTGTTTGAAAACATAGAGATGCGAACCTTTGTAGAGCAGTTTAATTTACAAATAATGTTGTTACATCCATCGATTATTTTACAACATCCCTCCTTGTGTTTTCTTCCTTTGAATGAAATGAAAGAATGAAAAAAAAAAAACGAAAATGACCACAATGTATTTTTATTTATTTTCGAAAGGTAGGATAACCAACTGCATGCTTTCTTTTTCCTCAGAGATAATCCTCTGCAAACCTAATCCTTGTCTTCATGGTGGCCAGTGCATAGTTATTAGCTCAAGACAATTTTCTTGCGATTGTGAGCAAACCGGATATGAGGGCAACCTGTGTGAAAGGGGTGTTGTAACGCCTCCTGTTTTCCCCAAACTAATTCCTGGTCAGCCCTCAGAGAGACTGGAAGTGTGCGCAAAGCCAGAAAATTCATTGACAGTTAATTTACTTCCAACCATGAACTTGTCCATTCAGCCTGAGAAGCTGATAATACAGCATCCTGCATCAAAGGCAGAATTTCAAATAACAGGTTACAATTCTGGGGTTGGAATGGTGATGTATAGTCTTGATGGTGTAAACAAGTATGATTTCATGGCTCCACCCAATAGCGTCGTATTTGTAGGTCGTAATGTCTCAAGTCAAGATAGTGTTTACACGAAGCTTGGTCTGTTAGCGGGCGAGTTACCAGTTGGGTGTCAACGAATGGAAATCGAGAAATTTCCAGCATTTGACTTTAAAATAGCGTTTTATACAAACTCGACCGCATCAAATCCACTTTTAATTGAATCCGGTCCAGTCCACATTATTACATTTGACAACAAGACGATCCCTCTCAGCTTAGCAGGCTATGACTTTTCTTTGGCACCTCCATCACAAAAAAATACAATGGAAAGATTGATTAGACACACAAGCATATCAGATGCGTGGCAAACTGGCAATCAAATGCCTGATCGTTACAATATCGGATTTACAGGAAAAGACCTCATTGAATTTATACAAACAGAGGCCTTTTCGAGGTCCTTTCTGAGATACATAACGGATCAATTGCCGTTGTGGTTAAGATTGGGGGTTAGAGACGAACAAAGTAACCTGTTCGACATAGGGAACATCCAGTCTAATCTTTTTCTAACAACAGATACCCACCTCCCCTACCCAATCTGCAAATTTCCTGCCCACATACAATCCACATTGGTCCTGTATCGTCCAACGTTGAATTACAACATCTCAGTTGAAAACAATCATCTTCAGTTGTCAAGCAAAGGGTCTTGTTTCGCTGCTGCCATTTCCGAACCTGGCGTTTTTCTAGCGTTTTCCCAGCGAGCGAGGAAACAATTTGCAACTATGCAATTTATGCAAGACCTAACTTTAGGAGGGTGGAAACTTCTGGTGTCTTCCTTTGGTTTTACCACTCCACGAGGAAACAACACTTTTGCAAACAGTGTACCAAATGGTCACTTGGTTGGAAATTTCTCCGATTTCTATTATAACTGGTGGTGGCAAGGAAGCGCAAACGTCGATCTAAGCAACGAAGATCAGGCTGTAAATATGAAAATGAGTGGAGATGTCTTTGCTTTCACGGAGGACTTAGATGCGGTAAGTACATAGTTTTCTTCAGCTGTAAGTTTTCAGCAAAAAATAACTTCCACATTTTCTTTAATATTTTTCAATAAGCTGCAGCATTTTCCACAGGTTGTTAAAATGCTCTATGTACATCTGTAAACAAAACGTTTTTTTGTAGGTATTTACCAGTTATTTCTCGAAGCCAACAAGATTTGTCTTCCGTGGATCAGTTGAGTTCAACATTACCCTTCATAGCCTTGGTAAAACAGTACCTTTAACCTTTTACTCAAGCGACGTTACTGGGAAAGCACAATTTGGAGGTGAAAAATGCTCTGTTAATAGTTGAAAATAATAGCTAATTAATTTTATTCCATATCTCTCAGACAAAACACTCCATGAATGACGTAGACCAGTTTCTGGTTTATTAGAAGTAATCTTCTTGTATAGACTGCAAGCCCTTCCTTTTCTTCGCATGACTTAAAGGCACTGTGTCACGGTAGTGCGCATGTGTGAGCTGTGACAGTAGCTAATTGTTTTTAAACCAATCGGAAGCGAGTAAGATGCACGCAAGGAAATTTGTTTGTTCGATTGTATATATCCCTATAATTCATATTCATTCTCTGGTATTCCTCAGATATATGTTGCAACCGATAAGAATAACATTAAAAACCCTGTCCTGCTTTGAAACAAACATTTTTTACGTACCCAAGATAGAAAACCAGTGTCCGATCCGCCACCAAAAATAATTTGTTAACAAACTTAACTGGTCTCTCCGTTTGAGAGAACAACGCAAAATTAAGCATAAACAGGAGCCCATCACTATGGCATAAATTTCAATTGCTTATGAGCAAATAAACAAATTTCTTCCCAGTCGTTGTGCGGGTGTTTCGCAAAACAAACGTTATCGATTTCAACACATAAAGAAACCAGATAATAAACGGAACACTCAGGTAACAATTTATCTTTTAAAACATCAATTCTAAAACATTTACTCTCATACAGCAAAGATACAAGGAACATTCCGAGTGAACCACATCGATAGGTTATAAAGATCGCGCGGCCTGTTGTAAGTAGTTTCTGGTATGCAACTACAGATCGGAGTCGTAAATCGAATTCCTGTTAAAACGTTTCGTGTTCGATGGATTCTTTCCCCAAACCTTACACGACTTCCTGTACAACAAAAGATTGCTGGGCCTTCTCCTTTCTGATTCCAGGCACTCGAGAGGATAAATTGTTGCAGACAATCGGAAGTCATGTCCACGGGGGGGCTCCCATATGAAAGGGCCGGAAATGCTCGTCGGAAATTTTGAATTAAGCGCCTAAAGGAGACCAATCTGGGCGTGGCCCAACCTTTTTTTGACCCCTAAAAGCGATCATTTGAAACTTTGATTACATGAATCGAGTAAATAAAATGAATTGAAAATATATAATTTTTTAATATTTCTTCGCGTGCAACCCTATAAGAGACCTAAAACACCCTAAAAGAGACCGAAATGTGAAATTTACACCCCTAAGCGAGACGACGAGCATCCCTATCCCTCTCATATGGGATTCCCCCCTCCCCACCTCCCCGGGGTCCTGTCCCAGATCAGCTTCACTCGCCGCGGCGTCCAATTGGTAGTCCACGGCTGTATCGAGGAAACCCTTTTCAACTTTCTTTACATATTTAACGTTCAAAAACTATCTGGAAAAGGTAGCAATCGGGTCAGTAAATTAACCGTTAACAATAGATGTTTTCTCTTTCAATGTCAGGAGTCACGTTTTTGGCATCAGGTTTCAGTGATGATTGCCGAGTGCCACAGGGATTCGTTTTCGCTCTTGAACGATCCTCAAAAATTTTCAGTGCAAGTCCCTTGGCTTATATCATCAGGCCCGATGGTGGCCTGAAATATCTGCAGATCTACTATTCAGTGACTGGTGGCCACGTAGTCTCGGGGCAGGACAATAAAAACAACCTAAGGTTTGTGGAATGGCAAGCGCAAGAAATTAAACGTACTCTCCTTGCTGTTGGAAGAACTGTACCTCAACTGCAATTCATCACAAGGAGATGGGAAGCAGTGACAGACGAGATGTTAGCTGATGTGACCAAAGCTCGACACCTTCTGTCCTCTGCTTCCGATTGGCTGGAGCTGAAAGTGCTTGTGAAGCAGCTGGATGACGACCTTGATATCATATCTCGCGCGTTTGACCTTCTTATTGCTAAGCTGCAGCCCTACAGGAATCAAACAAGAATAAACAGTTTTATCCATAGTTTCATTAAATTAAGGGCAGACCTCCCCAAGGCTATCTCTCTTTCTTTCTCCAAGTCTGTTATTCAGCAGAACTTTATAGGTTTGCGATTTCTTTTGACTGCTCAAATATGCCACAAAGAGCTCTGCTTTGCAAACATAGACTCAAGTATCTGGTCCCTGAATGGCAGCGATTGTCGCACCAACCCATCAAGGCAAGAAACTGGTTTACTTGTTGAAGGAACTGCTCTGAATACTATCTCTCTCGGTAGTCTAATAACACTTCCAGCCGGTGGAACGTTGGAAATGTTCCTATCGCGTGATCATGACCTTGTTTCCACAACCTTTAAGGCTGTTGTTCACCTACTCGGAATAAAGAAACACGCAATGGTAAAAATTGCTGGAAGTGAGTTATCCTTTGTCATCTCAGGCAATATGTTTGGCGGGTTTGACGCTATGTTAAATGTCACAGCTCAAATTGATAACGTTATTGACTGGGATTCCACAGTATTTAGAGTGGAAGGTAAGATGAATAGGTCGTCACACCTCCATTCCCTTCTCAATAAGATGATGAAAAATGAAACTACCATGGCGGCGAGAGATGCAACACAAAGATTAGCGTACTCCCATTCAACATACATTGATGCAAAAAGAAAAGCAGACTTCGTTAAAGACGTCCTAAAGTCAAAACAGTCAGTTGTGGACGAACTGAAGGTCTGGAAAGAAAAAGCTGCTGAGGAGCTCCGTCTTGCACGTCTAAAATGCTATCTTGCGAAACTACGGTTTAATAGCACCTTCTATTTTCGCGAGAACGTCAGAGGCTACATTTGTGAGATACAAGAGTGTAATTACACTTGTTTAAACGGCTGCGTCACCCCGGACCTTTGCCAGGATCCCATAAATATAACTTATCTTCAACGGCAATGCAACACAGTTGACAAACCCATAACAATTAACGTTATACAGAGAGAGATTGAAAAACGCAGTTTCACAGTTCCTACATATAAAACCGTCTACACTGGAGACTGTAAGTTTAGAAACTCCACAGGTATAAAAGGCTTTTTTGTAGGTTTGAAGGAGTTAATATTTGGTTGCTCTGATACTTTCAAAAGAGTGCCAGCTGAACCTCAAATTGTGGAGTACGACCAAAAAATATATAAAGTGAAGTCAGTGGAGCAGATCATTAAGGAAGTGAAATGCAATGGTCACACAATGAGGACAAAGCCAGGTGGATACGGACCGCCATACCAATGCTGCAAGCAGTATGGGTGTAAAACTAAAGTAATGGACCGACGGTGCATCTTAGGCAATGAGAAATGTCTGCTATCCATGACAGAACTCAAGTTCACGCTGGATGCCCTGAATGAAACATTGCAATCAGAATTCCTTTCTTTAAGATCCTCTGTGATGAAGGTCAAAGAAGCAACATTTTCTTTCGAAAAAGTCAGAGTCCTTCATAAGAATGCTGTTTCTCAGCTGAAACATATAGAAACACTTCTGAAACAAAAACTGTCAGTTGTGGAAATCACAAATGCTTCCATGATTCACATTCGACGGATTGTTGACTTTGGGTTGCAAATAGCACAGGTGATGAACTCTTCAGATAATGGAAGAGTTGTAGAAGTTGACGAACTGCACTTTTCTCTTCCCGTGGTATCAGGGGATGCCAAACAGATTGTTTTCCAAACTAATGCAAGCACACTTGGTGGAAAAAAAGTGCCTGTCCGCTTTCTTCTTGATTTCGACCAAGTGAAACGTTCAATTTCTTCGGCATCCAAGGACATTATTGTCGACTTATTTGGTGGAAAACGCGCAAGAAGAAAGCGATCAGCAGCAGAAGAAGAGTCTACACATTCTTTGCATTCGAGCGGCTTTACAGATTACCCATACGTGTGCCTTTTTGTCAACAATACACACTTATACTTCAGCTACATGTTCAAATCTTTGCATACCCTTATTTCTTCCGTCAAATTATTAAACCAACAGCTGACATTTGGAATTCAAGGCCTTGAGCAGCTATCCCAGACAATGAATGCTACCGGTTCGTTGTTCAATGCCTCAAAAATAGCAAGTAACTTCAGTAATGAATATCTAAACAGCTCTTTTATAACAGGATTCCTAGAAGTCATACAGGTGTTAAAAGACGAGAATATGAAGATGATGAATGATTCTTCTCAATCTTGGAATGACACCTTTGAGGCTTGGAAAGCTTTTCTGGAGGTTTACACCTTAGAAAAAGGCTTTGAAGGGTGCTCTGGCACACAAGACTGCATCATATACTTTTTCGACGGAGCAAAGGAATTTTATGAGTTTGAAAACAGTCGGAGGGCACTTGAGATAAAAGACGCCCTTCCTCGACTTCAAAACGTGATTCAGTCATTAACAACTAAAGCCTTGAGTATGGAGGAAGCAGAGCAGATTCTCGTTCACGCCGACCACTTATTGAAAAAAACGCTTGATGACTCCGTTTTGTGTGGTGGATCACCAAGTATAACGTGGTCGTCTCAGGGAGATGTTATTATTTTCCCCGGAGAGAGTCTTTCTCTAAATTGTAGTGCAAAGGCCGAAGAGAGCCTAACATATGCTTGGCGACGAAATGGTAAGATCATTAGCAAATCAACATATGGAGGTTTCTCGCTAGACGCCGTCACCAAGGATAATGAGGGAGCTTATGTCTGTGAGGTTTCCAACAATAAAGGAAGCACTTTGTCCAATGTCACAATAGTCAAAATTCATAGCAAACCTGTAATCACTGAACATCCACAGCCACAAAGAGTAGTCTTTAGAAGCCAAATACCAGTGACATTTAAGTGCAATGCAACTGCTGAGCCATCGCCTACTTTCCAGTGGTTCTTTCAATCCACAAAATCATCCGTTATTAGAATCAACGAATCCAGACCTGTGCTATACATCGCCGACCCTCGTCTTAACCAGGAGGGTTATTACTTTTGTGAAGCATCTAATGAACACGGTAGAGCAGTCAGTCAAAGAGCCCGACTAGATGTGTTAAACTACACAGTTGGCCTTCCACGATTACTGATTACTTTTAACCTGACCAACCTCTGTTGGCTAACATCTAATTCTTCCAACAATTCTGTCCCAGATTCTCAGTTATGTGATGGATTACCTTCATCACTGGACGATAATCTGACTGACAGCCTCCTAAATTCTCTGGCAACATCGCTGAATTTGTCCACCTCGTCAATCTCTGGACTGACGTACTATTCCGAACATACGTCAAAACTATATTTGTCATTCGTTATTGACTTTGAAAAAGAATTGTCAAAAGACGAAAACTTTACAATCTTTACAAAAGTAGCTGAAGCGATTGCTATTGCTGACGCAAGGATGGTCGAGAAACTTCAAAAGTTCAACTCAGACGTGCTTAGCAGGACCTTTAAAGTTTCTTGGAACTCCACAACTCTGATTGGGGAGCCTGGAAGTATATTTGCTTACCCGTTATCACCAGAATGCCCTGAGACACAGTTCCTTAGTGAGCAAGGTTTCATCTGTGGTGAGTTGCGTCTTCTTACATTGGTCACTTTTCTAATATATGTGTTAAAAAGAACAATATCGTAAATATCATTTGTCTCAACATTCAGCCACACACACTAAGGATGCGTCAGGCGACAGAGGCACCTGTGCCTTAGTTTTGTAAGTGATCTTTTTTTAATCAAGCGAGTATATAAGCCCTGTTCAAATTTCGCTTGTTTTGCAAAGACATTTGTCAACAGGAAGCCATTCCTAGTGCGAACATTTTTCACCTACCGAAATTTTCTCAAGTGTCATCAAACGTCAAAGATGCCGTCGAGAAAGTTTGGATGCCACAATTTTTTGTCAGGCGACAAAATCATTTGTTCCTTGACAGCTATCCTTCGTCGGGTCATCTTATTTCGCGAACGTGGCTAATTCAGTTATAGTTCCTTGACGTTTTTGGTTTCATGACGTTTTTGGTTTCATGAAAACTTTTGGTGCCTCAGGTACGATCAAGGTTAATTGGTAACTACAAAATTTTCAAGTTATTTGCAAACGGCAAACTTTTTTTTTGTTGTAGTGTAAAAGGACCTAAAGCGACTCAAAAGCTGACATTTCGAGTGCTAGATAGTCCCACGTCAGAATGAACCGGTTAAAATCTATACATGCATGTGTACGACTCTGTTTTTCTTGGTAGACTTTGCTAAAAGAACTAAGTGAACTAAAAATTGACCTCGATTCATCAAGTCAATATACAGCAGGACGCAGTTGGAGAAGTATAGAGAAATCAATAACGCTACCTAGTAGATAGAAATTAATCTGATGTTTAATGTTCGATCTACCTTTGGAAAAACTGGGACAAGAAGAATTGCGTCACCATGTAGATTTTCTGTCTCGCCCGTTATCTCCGTTAATTGTTTGGCCCCGACTTGAGAGAGAGCTTTCCAAGAAAAACGACGTTTTTTCTCATGTTTAAAAATCCTAATACATATCGCGTTAAGCTGGCTTAACTCGTTTGCAGTTTTGTTTTGTTTTGTTTTGTTTTTTTCAATTACTCTCTAAAAAGAACTGTCTAAGTTATCTATTTATTTTAAGCTTAGTTAGACATGTTATTTCTTTTAGCCAACTGCCCGGCTGGTTTATACTACAGCCCTGAAAACGGCACCTGCGTTGAATGTCCACATGGTACATACCAAACAAACCAAGGTCAAAAAGAGTGTATACACTGTGGCCAAAACCTCACAACAGCTATGAAAGGAACTGTAGAAGAGAAAGACTGCATTGGTTAAGTGTCCGACTTTTATTATTTGCGCGCGTAGTGATTGCTTTGCCATATGTTTACTAGAGGTTTCATTTTATCAAAGGTCGGCAAATATCTTCGCTCGTTCTTTCTTTTTTTTCCACAAAATTCCATGTGTAATTACACGGCATATTAAAATCAAGAGAGGATCGCTGAAGTACAAAGTGAGACACAGCAAAATGCTTCGGTGCATTTATACATGTTTGTCAAAAAGACGTCAAATTTTGTCATTCTTTAGTGTGCATGATATTAAGTGCCCGGTCCTCAGTACCTCGCTTCAAGGTAAAATTTATTTTGGAATTCTGCAAGTGCAATCGAGGCAAAGAGAGCTAAATAAATATAAAAGAAAAGTAGCATTGCTTTCATTTTACAATAAGATGTATAAATTGATATTAAGCGCCCGGATCAAATGCCCCGCAAGTAGTTGTGTCGCACCAAAGCTGGATACGCCGAGAAAGAAAAGTAGCGTTAGTCTACTTTTGTTCGGCAGTTTCCGTTTGGTACAGCACGAAGTCGAATTATCAGTCTTTCCTCTCCAGCCTTGGATATGTTGCAGCCCAGTGTTTGAACTGGGCCTCAACCTCTTTAATGTAACTATTAAACTGTTCTTCATTTCTTAGCTGACTGTCCGAGTGGTTCATTCGCAACACTGAACAGAAAGTGCGTTTTGTGTCCTCGCGGAACTTACCAACCCTCAAGAGCTCAGCTATCTTGCATACCGTGTGTTCAAAACTTGACTACCGCAACAACTGGAACGGCGAACAATAAGCACTGCATTGGTAAGAGTCAGGAGCCCATCAAATGGAGCCTCCATCTCCATTAATTTCTTGAGTCAACCCTTTCCCGGGTAGATTTCTAAATAGAACGGCTAGTTTCCCGCGAAAAGTGTCATATTTCCGTGAGTCACGTATGTCACCGTGAAAAAATAAAATTGGATGAAGTCGAACTCAGAAGCCCGTCTTTCAACCGTTTTCCTTTATTCCTTTACGTCCGTTTTTTCAATTTTACAGCCGCTGGGATCTGGGTATCATGAAATAAAAGTTAATGAATTACCCGACTGAGACTGAGCATGAAGCGATGGGACAAAGGCAGCGAACTGAGGATCACGGAAAAATTATCTTTGCGAGTGTTTTTTTTTTTTGCTGTCATACATCCCACATTTAAGCATGCACCTTGAAAAGAGACGACGATTAAACGTTCTGTGGACGATTTGAAACTTTTCGATGATCAGCGACGAAAAAGTGCCACGATCATATGATTTTTGTCATCACCGAGGAGTGGATTTCGCCAGTTAAGCACCGCGTGCAAAAGCGATGACCTAAGTAGCAAGTAACGAGGAATGCTTCAGTTCCGAAATTTGAGAAATTGCAGTCTTCCTTTACAACTGGCTTGTATCACCATGAGAGTTGCCTGATAAAACTAGCGCTTGAAAATTTGAACAGAAGACAACAGTTGCTCGACCGTGAAGTTAACTCAACCGTAATTTGCTAACAGAGGAATTTGTGACATCGCGCTCCAGTCGAAAGACCCACTTATCTCAAGAAAAACAAAATGGATTGTATCTGCGCCAAAAGAATTATGACTGACTAACAGGACAATTTTCAGCAGTTAATGTAGAAGTTTAGGCTCAATTCCTTCCTTCGAATTCGCATCTGTAGATCATTTTTTTGCGAGCAAACAATGGCTGGGCCCGGCGTTACAAAACATAGCAGGGAATCATCACACTAGCTGACGGACAAAACAACCACAAGGACTACAATTATTTATTCAGATAAACGCATTTCGGAAAACAAAACCTTGAAAAACTAGAAATTTGATTAATATTCAGTCATTTAGCCGAAATAAGAACCTTGACGCCGAATTTCCTGCTGTTTGATTAAGTACAATAGCAGTGTCATTTCGTGGTTGTGATTGGCTCTTCCCACCGTCGGCGCGCGAAGTCTCCCCTGGGAACCGTTCTAATTATAAATCTACTCGGGAAAGGGTTGACTCCAAGGGCTTGTATGGGAGATGGAGGCTCCATTTGATGGGCTCCTGTAAGAGTTCAACGTGCTAAAAAGATTGTGCAAGGCACCATAACCGCCAATCGACACCTTAGAGTCAAACTTCCCTACCTGACTAAAGATCTTGTCTCAGTTAAGGTGAAAGCGACATTGGTCAGTTGGGCGGTGACGTTAAGCCGTTGGTCTTGCAACTTCATACGTCTTTGTAAATGGGACGTAAAAGCGCCCACACTGCTGTTCAGCAGCAGGAGGGGAAGGGAACTAGACCCCAGAGGTGCGGTCCATCTCTCATGGGGGAGGGACTGTAACGGACCAACAGTGGCGTCACGGTAGAGGGTTGTCCAATACTAACAAATAGACTCCATTGGTGTTAGTGGTGATAAGAAGAGTCTCCATTGGTACCAATGGTATGATTGATACCAATAGAAAATTATGTCATTCCAATGGTTCTATTGTTGAATATGCATCTCATTAAGGCGACTTGGATTATTTTCAGTCGGGCCGGGAAAAGGCGCAACAAAAGTTTTCAAGCACAGGCGGAACAGCCCCTGGGTACCGACTCTCACCGGACCATTTCCAAACGGTCAAGCGAATGCTGGCTCCTGATTGGGAACAAAAAATGCTTTGTATTATTGTACCCAATCGGCGAATAACATCTCCTGAGTTCTTTTCGTAAGTTCGTACACGACGGTTATAGACTCGATCATGGCTTGTCTGGTTCATGCACCACAGAAATGCATGCAGTCAGGAATCTTTCGGTTTGATATAAACGCTACATTTCAAAATACTGGTAGTCTTTACACTAGAGCCTGAATAAGCTAAGAAATATTTCAAGACAAGTAAATTTTAAATTCTTCAAGTAAAAGAAAGCTTCACACACAACCTATCTTTTTTCTTCAGGTTTTCCCACGCAACATAATTAAGATTGATTGACATGCTTCGCCTTTCTCAAAGCTTCGAAACCGCAAGTTCGCTAAGTCGGTTTTAATGAGATGCAAAGTAACGTTAATTGAGATTTTGCTTAGGCCTTAATTCACACACGCATTTTTGATTAAGTAAAACTTAGCAGCTTTTAAGTCTTACTTAACAGCCTAATGTAAAGACAACCACTGTCTACACGAAAACTAAAGGCGCTTTTCCAAAAATACAAGCTTGAGCTTACAACAGGTATTCACGCTTGCATCGATCAGGCCTTCGTAAATATTAGGGAGTTTAATATGCCACGACAGCTGACAACCACGAAAACGTCGCATGAAGAGTGAAGTCACATTTTTTCAGTCTCTATCGTTATTTTTCCAACTCACTTACTTTGTCAAATGCAAGTGAACTCTTCTGGAGCTGAATTTCTATCAACCATATCCAAGTTCATAAAGGTAAAAAACATTTTGTCATTGCTTGTTTACGTCCTTCACAAAACTTGAAATCAGGCGTTTTCACGTGGTAGTCGTGCAGTGACGGCAAAGAAATATACAAAAAAGCGTGATCCACGTGCAAAGTTGTTGTTTTGCCTTGTCAAGCTATTGCTTTTTTTACTTTCTCGTCCCCGCTTCATTTTAAACTTCCTATTATTTACGATACATTGTGATCCGTCAGAAACAGAATTTTCTCAGTGCAAATTAAATTGCTCCAGCTGATAGCATCCGAAACGTTTTTCGACTCATCGGTAGTTCCTTCGTTTCTGGTTAGGAGAGCTTGGTGAACGAACCGGGCAACTGTGGCGAGATAATAACCGTCGTGTACGAACTCACGAAAAGAACTCAGGAGATGCTGTTCGCCGATTGGGCACAATAATACAAAGCATTTTTTGTGCAAAATCAGGAGCCAGCATTCGCTTGACTGTTTGGAAATGGTCCGGTGAGTGTCGGTACCCAGGGGCTCTTCCGCCCATGCTTGAAAACTTTCGTCGCGCCTTTTAACCCGGCCGGACTGACTACCCCTGGGTCTCCGAGAATGGGTTCAGGGCAATTCCAATGGTCCCTTGGTAACTATTAGCGCGTTTCTACTTTGTGTGAGAGCGAAAATGTTTTGTGTGGTTAGCTTATAGAACGAGGAATATTCATAATAACTATTAGCGCGTTCTACTTTGTGTGAGAGCTAAATTGTTTCGCCGGCATGGATGGCTTTTCTAGAACGAAGAATATTCATAATAACTATTAGCGCGTTTCTACTTTGTGTGAGAGCGAAATTGTTTTGCGTGGTTAGCTTATAGAACGAGGAATATTCATAATAACTATTAGCGCGTTTCTACTTTGTGTGAGAGCAAAATTGTTTTGCGTGGTTAGCTTGTAGAACGAGGAATATTCATAATAACTATTAGCGCGTTTCTACTTTGTGTGAGAGCGAAATTGTTCTGCGTGGTTAGCTTATAGAACGAGGAATATTCATAATAACTATTAGTGCGTTTCTACCTTGTGTGACAGCGAAATTGTTTTGCATAGATGGCTTATAGAACGAAGAATACACATAGGACAATGGAACCATTGGAATGACATCATTTTCTATTGGTACTAATCGAACCATTGGAATTGCCCTGTATCCAGCCAGGTCACAACGGAAATAATCTAAGTCCCCTTAAGGAGACGCATATTCAACAATAGAACCATTGCTATGACATCAGTTTCTAGTGGTACCAATCGTACCATTGGTACCAGTGGACCATCGGTTTGACGAATCGTATTCGTTTGTGTATATTGGACATGCACGGAGATGCCCTGCCATAAATAGGCGAATCTTGATAAAATGAATAAATAAACTAGTGATAATTGCAAACAAGGGGAGTACGTTAGGCAGGGAGGGGTGATGAGACAAGGGGAGGGGGAGTGATAGGTGGAGGTAAGGGGGTGCAAGGAGTGTTAAGTATGATATTTATATGTTGTCATATTTTCTCGATATTCCAAGTCCCGTTTTGATCCACAAACTACAATCAAACCTCAATGCAGAAAGCTGATGAAACGTGTTCTACACGTAACATTGAGAAATGAAAATAGAAATAGATTGTAGAGGTCAATAATAACCCTTTGTCAAAAATTGGCCTTCTTCAGTATGATCTCCTGAGATCAGTGTTAATGTCCCGTATTGTTTACTCTCCCACTTTGGAATGTATTGCTTTTTCATTTTGCCGGCCTCAAAAAATTCCAAAGCGTCACGTAGTCATTCCCCAATGAATCCTGTCATTCTCTCGTAGTTAGTTTTGCTTGAGTCAATTATTCGTTTTTACGGTGCCGGTAACTATTGACTTCGATTCAGTGGCGTTTTTTCTGAGGTTAGTAAACCAGCTTTCGTAAGTGAGTCGTTGACAGTAATCTGCAGATTTCGCAAAATCTCAGTCGATTTAATAAGAATAAGTTAAGCCACAATCTTTGCATATTTGATTTACTGATATTTTGTACCCTTCCCAAGGCTCTGAATTTTGAAGATAGAATATTAGGCAAATGAAATTATGACTATAGGAAATCAAAAAGGCGATATGTTGTCTAATGTGTATCCCCTCATCTTGAGGTTGTTTTTCCCGGTATTCACTTTCTATTTTGTATTTCAACCAAAATTTGCAAAGATTATTGATATAATCGGGGGGGGGGGGGG